GAGGATGTGGAGAAACAGGAACACTTTTACACTGCTGGTGGGAGTGTAAATTAGTTCAACCATTGTGGAAGACAGTGTGGCGATTCCTCAAGGCTTTAGAAATAGAAATTCCATTTGACCCAGCAATCCCATTACTGGGTATATATCCAAAGGACTATAAATCGTTCTACTATAAGGACACATGCACACGAATGTTCATTGCAGCACTGTTTACAATAGCAAAGACCTGGAACCAACCCAAATGCCCATCGATGATAGACTGGACTGGGAAAATGTGGCACATATACACCGTGGAATATTATGCAGCAATAAAAAATGATGAGTTCGTGTCCTTTGTAGGGACATGGATGAATCTGGAGAACATTATTCTCAGCAAACTGACACAAGAACAGAAAATGAAATACTGCATATTCTCACTCATAGGCGGGTGATGAACAGTGAGAACACATGGACACAGGGAAGGGAGTTCTACACACTGGGGTCTTTTGGGGGGAATAGGGGAGGGACAGCGGGGGAGTGGAGCTGGGGAGGGATAGCATGGGGAGAAATGCCAAATGTGGGTGAAGGGGAGGAAGGCAGCAAAACACACTGCCATGTGTGTACCTATGCAACTATCTTGCATGTTCTGCACATGTACCCCAAAACCTAAAATGCAATTAAAAAAAAAAAAAGTCAGGAGTGTTTTGTGAAACTTTTGATTCTGCAACACATACATTTACATAATAAGCCTATATAGTAATGTTGCAGCACACCGTAAAAATGTGTATTTTTACTCTAGGTCAGACGCACTCCAAAAGGGTTGAAATTCCCTCTTTACTGCACATTTTATGTATTTCATTTCTATTAATAATGCCTCTGCTTCCCAGATGTAATGCTTTTGCTTGGCCTTTCAAAAAGGACATCCTAGAAAATAATTGTTCAACCATGTAATTGCTTCGCTTTTCATTACCCTGTGGGTTTAATGGGCAGATACATCTATTTCTCCTCTGGACTCCAAAGTCAAAGGTTATGTTTTGTATGCATACTTCTTTCTTTACTCTAGGTCAAACTCTATTCCACAGTCCAGTCTGGGAACTGACGTAAGCTTCAGGTTGTTAGACAATGGTAGCCATCAAAGAAGCTTAAGGTGATCTAAAGTTAGGTTTAATAAAAGTAAAGTTTAGACTTACATCTGCCATATGTACAGATATTTATGAAATCATGTAACCATCGCATTGGGCCAAATGTTCACTCCTGGAAGATGCAACACTATTTCAGAGAGAGAATTTTGTTACCCTTAGAGTTAGTATCAGCCAAAAGGAAATCCATGTGAACCAATGCTTTGGAGTCAGGCTTGCCTGGAAATGAAGTTTAGGGTACTCTCCCTTAAACTACAGGTTACAGACCTTGCTGAACTCTCCAGATCTGGACTCTGCAGAGTCGGACTTTGGCAGAAATATGGCTGACAGAGGCCGTTGTAGGAGCTTCCTTTGGCCTGTAATCCTCCTTCATATCAGCCTGGCTGACCATCCTGGAATGAGACCTCTTGGAAAAGCTGACAGCCCACAGAGTGAAACCTTTAACCAAGTGGCACATATATACCTCCCTATATTAACATATCTACAAACCAAATAAAAAGCATTAAAGCTTGTCCCTTAGGCTTGAAGAAATTAATGATCAGTTGACAAATTCATTATAACTTGGTGCAAATAAAACAGCCTATGTGAACAAAACTACTTTATAAGTGCTTTTTTTGGATACCACATAAAAATGTCTTTCACAAAATCATTAGGTTGGTGCAAAAATAATCGCGGTTTTTCCTGTTAAACGTAATGGCAAAAGCCGTGATTACTTTTGCACCAACCTAATACAACTTGCATGAAAATCCAGTGCTACACTCAGCTTTCAGAAAACCAATCTTACGTAATATTGCTAAAGAAAACAAAGTGGAGACTATCAAGGTAATAAATGAAAGGAATGGAGAGACTTTATTGAACTCGTGGTTGGCCTTTGGTTTTAGTTTTTCTTTCCCATCGAAAAGTAGGTCATCTGCTATGTTGGGCTTTATTACCTGGGGACGTGACTTGCCCTTGACCTTGTGGTGGCTCTCGGTCTTCTTGGGCAGCAGCACGGCCTGGATGTTGGGCAGGACGCCGCCCCGGGCGATGGTGACCTTGCCCAGCAGCTTGTTGAGCTCCTCGTCGTTGCGGATGGCCAGCTGCAGGTGGCGCGGGATGATGCGGGTCTTCTTGTCGCGGGCCGCGTTGCCCGCCAGCTCCAGGATCTCGGCCGTCAGGTACTCCAGCACCGCCACCAGGTAGACCGGCGCGCCGGCCCCGACCCGCTCAGAGTAGTTGCCCTTGCGGAGCAGGTAGCGCTGGAGCCCTGCCAGGGAAGACCAAGTCTGGGATTTCAGCGCGACCCTGCTTCCCACAACCAGATATCCCCTGCGAAATAGCGCCCTCTAATGCCAAACCCAAAGCAGAGGTGAATAAGGATTGTACACACACCCCGACCCCCCCACACCCACACCCACATCTTAATGGCTAAGTTCTTTGGAAGGTGTCTCATCCAAACCAAAAGCAGAGGTAAATAAGGACTATATCCCTTAAACACACACACACACACACACACACACACACACACACACACGAGTTAATGGCTAACTTCTCTGGAAGGTCCCTCATCCAAGCAAAGTAGAACTGCCAATACTTTTACATGCCGTTTTCCATTATTTTTTATCCAATCAGACTTTTTTGTAGACTTCCTTTGAATACAAGTATCTGCAGGATTTTCCTTGTCACCTGTAGACACTTGTTATCTTTTCAAGGAAGCCAGAAACAGATTTTGATATGCCTAAAGTTTTGAGGTGTTCTACAGTCTCTAGAAAGGGCTCCAGGAAAGCTATGTGTAATATGTATTTTTTGTATAATATGAGAATACTTATTTCTTCTATAGAGGGCAAGAACATGAATGGGATGCGGATGTATGAGAGTTATATGTTATGTATTCATGGAAATTAGTAAGTAGATCACACATAGGTTAAGAAATGGGAGGATGAAGAGATACCTACATTCATGAGGCCTGAAAGAAACAAGACATCTGGGCACAAGATACTTATGGTATACTAAATATATAGCAAACACTAAACATCCAGGGTACACCTAAGGTTATAGGAGCACCCAGTATTTTCAAGACCTTGACTCAACCAGCTACTGGGGACACCCATTCTGTCACCGTGTGTTCTCTGTTCAAGAAACACACTACTATTCAGCCTTTAACAATAAGGAAGTCATGCCATTTGTGAAAACATGGATGAATCTAAGGAACATTAGGGTAAGCAAAAGAAGGCAGGCACAGAAAGACAAACACTGCATAATCTCACTTGTATATGGAATCTAAGAATATCAAATTTATAGAAGCAGGAGAACACAGGTTATCAAACGCTACGGGTTGGGGAAATGTTGGTCACAGTATGCAAAATTTTAGTTAGACAGGAGGAATAAGTTTGGTTCAGGAGATCTATTGTACAACATACTAAGTGTGCTCCAACATGGGCATTTCATCGAAGGCAACATGTATGAGAACCATTTTGTCGAGGATATTGTCAAGCACACAGTAGAACAAGACTCTCTGTAGGCTCACCGTAACAGGTACTGCACTGTCACCTCCAGAGGGAGCTAATGATCTGTGCACCTGCTCCTAGTCGGGGACTTGACTAGGTATGCTACTTCTGAGGACATTAAGGCCATTATCAATTACACCAATTGTATCCAAATAAGCTGCTATTGAGGATTCAAAGAGCATAAGACAAACGCTCTGTTCACAACCATCCACACTTTCTGTTAATAGCTTCGTCTTGATATATTCATATTTCTGATGGATGTCTCTTTGTATTACGTCTTCGTGACTTGTTCAGGATCCTATATAACTGACTTAGGAAAACTTTTCTCCTTCCTCCCTTAAATCTAAAAAGTAGGTCTATTTTGTTTTTGATTTTTCCTAATGAAGGATAGCATATGCTTGTATGTTTGTGTTTCAGAAAACCTACTATGTTGCCAAAAATGGTCTCAGTTCACTTTAAGTGAAGGCCCCTATATTAGTGCATTCTTATGCTGCTAATAAACACATACCTGAGACAGGGTAATTTATAAAGGGAAGAGGTTTAACAGACTCGCAGTTCAGCATGACTAGAGAGGCCTCACAATCATGGTAGGCGGCAAAGGAGAAGCAAGGACATGTCTTACATGGCAGAAGGCAAAAGACAGCATGTGCAGGGGAGTTCCCACTTATTAAAAACCTCGGATCTCACGAGACTTCTACACTACGATGAGAACAGGATGGGGGAAACTCCCCCGTGATTCAGTTATCTCCACTTGGCCCCACTGTTGATATGTGAGGATTACTACAATTCAAGGTGAGATTTGGGTGGGGACACAGCAAAACCGTGTCAGCCCCATTGCTTTTAGTGTGAATAGCCTGAACTAATTTATCTAATTATTGAGGTTAGACACATATTGCATAATTGTTGGATTTAATTTTTTTCTGGATTCAATTGCCATCACCCTGTGTCTTAGTTTTAACATATTTTTGGCCACAGTAGGGCAACTGTCCTTTGAAAGTCTTGGAATTATCTTTGATTTTAATCGAACTGTAGAAACACATTGTTTTTCAACTTCTGAAGAAACCTCTATCAGAATTGCATTGAATTTTTAGATTAAGATAGATGTCAGACATTTGTATAGACTTGTGATTTGCCACTTCAGAAGCTAGAGACTTTGAGGTGTACAAACTCTTTAAGTACTTCTGTAAAGCTTTATGATTTTCTTCTTAGAGCTTTCCACATTTTATGGAGCTTACTGTAAGTTGTTTTTTTTGCTAATAATATATCTGCATATAAATATAATGAGATGGTTACATTATATTTTCTAACTGCTTTTCTTTGAATGAATGCTATTGATATTTATGTTATAATATTATATTTGGCTGCTTTGCTAAATTGTATCATTTTTGTTTTCCAGGTTTTCGACTAGGACGTTCCAGGTAGACAGTAATCTTTCAAGCAGGTAAGTAGTTTGTAAGCAGTACCACAGGGGCAGCTGCTAGGCGAGCTTGCTGCATTTTTATATATTTAGCCAGGAAGGAGACAGTGGATCCAAATGTTAGACAGTTTGTCTTAGTCATTTGGACTGCCATGAAAAATTACTATAGGCTTAAACCATAGAAATTTATTTCTCACAGTTCCAGAGGCTGAGACCTCCAAGATTAAGGTACCAGGAGGTCCAATGTCTGCTGAGGACCCACTTCCTGACTTGCAAATGGCCATCTTCTCACTATATCCCCACGTGCCAGAAAGCAGAAAAAGAGAGAAAGCAAGTGCTCTCTTGTTTCATGAGGGTGCAGTCACAATCGATTTTAGAAAAATTATAGAATAATAATAAGGAAGATCTTAGGGGAAAGGACCCCTCTCAATGTCCTCAAATAGATTCATAGCAGCAAAAGCAAATATAGACGTTGGCCTGTGAAGATGAGGTCAGGAATGCTTTGACGTGCCTCAGTGCCCTCTTCAGTAAGACTAGCCATGCCTCTCTTTAACCATTGTCTTTGACCATTTCATGCTGCTATAACGAAATACCACAGGCTGTATAATTTATAAATAAAAGAAATTTATTTGTCACATTTCTGGATGCTGGCAGTCTAAGATCAAGGTCCTGGCTGGATTGGTGTCTGGTAAAGGCTAGGTCTTTGCTTCCAAGATAGTGCTTTGTTGCTGCATTCTCCAAAGGGAAAAAAATACTGTGACCTTACATGGAAGGGCAAGAGGGCCAAATTCACTCTCAAACTTTTTTGTAAGGGCGTCTAATTCCTTTTATGTGGTTGGAGTCCCATTACCTAATCATTCCCAAAAGATCCAACTTCTTAATACCACCAAGAAAAGGATTATATTTAACATGAATTTTGAAGGAAACACAATCATTCAAACTAGAGCAACCATAGACTTGTTTTTAATTGTTTTTGTTCCTTGGATAAAGAGCAAAAATCCATTCTTTTACTGGATTTCAAGCTTGCTCTTTACATCTGCCTTATTCTTTATATATTCCCTAATGACAAAGCTGACTTCTTCATAAAGAGAAGAGTGACGATGGGTTGGGTTGAAGGACCAAGTTTATTTTATTGGCTATCATGCTGGGATTGGGGTTTTCTTTGCATCAAGTTAAAGGTTGTGGATTACCTATGTCAGGCATATATGATCCCTCAGGCAGAAAGCCACATTGAGCCAACTTCAGCAAAGAAAGCAACTGGAGTAAGGGGGCTCACTCAACAGAAAGAACAATGGATTGAGCAAGAACAGCTCCATCTCAAGGTATAGAATCAAGACTTGAATCCCATTCTCTTCCTCCCCCTTTCCTTCCATCTCCCTTCTTTTGTTCCCTCTTCTCTCCCTCTCATTCGCTCTCCTTTCTTTTGTTTTCTCTATCTTTCTTCGTCTGTGACACCATTTTCTCTAATGTCTGCTGTTTCTTGCCCATCACTTTCCTTCAGTTAATCTTTTCTAAGAGAGAAAAGGCCCTTGCCTGGAAGTCTGGAGTCTCATCCTTCTATCTTTACTGTAAGAGAAGAAGAGGTGTTTGGGTTCTGCTTCCAGTTCAGAGTCTCAGCAAAAACTCTTACTGGCTCAGCTGTGCTCACTTCCCTAATTCTTGAACGTATTGCCCCGGCTGATCGAGGTAGAGTTCTCCCATTGGCCAAGCTTGTAGGAACCTTTGGTAACTTGGAGGGCTCTGATTAGCTATTACTATAAAAGCGGAGTTTTCCAAAGCACTAATCTTGACTCACTAGTGAAATCAATTTGAATGGATATGAACAATATATATATTTTAAAATGAGATATATAATAGGATAAACCATGACCTTATTCAATAAAATTTAAAATTTCAGAGTGTATTTTGCTCTGAAATAAAAGTAACTGTTTGGTAAATATTCTATTTCATTTATATGTGTTTGTGTTTCTGAGTATGTCCTGTTACACTATAATACTATATTTCTTATTGGGTGATATTGTCAGAAAAGTTTCTAAAACCCTTCTCTGCTGCACATATTTTATACATTTTATTTATGTTAATAATCTCATGTTTAACACACTTGTGATTTATTCTTCACAGCAAAAGGTGGTATTTTTCATTTACCTTTTAAAAAGCTCACATTATCAAATGATCATTCAATCTCTGCTTCTCTTACATACATTGATTTAATAAGTATGTACACTAGTTTATGCACTGATTCTCTAGATTTGAGCCTCATTTTCCTTTATTCTTACAAAACCAACTTGTCTATATGCCCACTTCTACTTCCTTTATTCTATCACCTTAGTCAAAGGATACAGAAACAATATCAATAATACGCTTTTCTCATCAATGGCTTCCACCTGTTTTCTGAGACATTCGGCTTCAAGAACGTTAGCTTGATATTACTGCAAATATAATACAGTCGATGAGGTGTTGAAAGCAAGGTATTGGGCAACATTCTGAAAGCATACATTTAAATAGGCTGCCCAGAGAGGTCAATAGTGAAGTGTCAAGGTAAGGATTTATATTTTTTTCTAATAACTATTTTAAAAAATGCTGCATCAACAAATCTCAGATGGCACAGGGGTTGTCATTTTTGAATAATATGAATATCTGTAATTTCAGTTGGAAAAGAAGATTTTCCAAGAGCCATTTAAGTTTCCAAAATAAGTGATGTAGTCATATTAAGTACTATATTTTCCTGCCTGTCAATCTACTGCCTGCAAATTTCTTATCAAACCAACAACCAACTGGAATACATAGACTGCACGTCTTGTTCATTTCCTGCATTGGCAAGTAGTGGTTTAACAAACTCATGAGCTTTCTCTTTGATCTGAACCACGTTTAATTTCAATTATATTGATTTAGTCTAAGGATGCAGAATTTATTTTATAGTTATGTGGGAACTGGAATCCAAACTGTGTTATACCTCCAAGCTTCTCTTTGTCAGCCTCTGAAGGAATATCACCCCTACAACTTCAGCATTGTGATAAATACCTCTGGGGAGGTGTTCACCTCAGGCCCCAAATTTGGAAAAAGGGAAGTGCCACTTTGGAGGAGTGCTCTGAGCAGCTGATCCAATAAATGTCCTCACCACGTGCACGTGGAAGTGTCGTTGCAATATCTGCACCAACAAAAGCTCAGTGACTTAACTGAGTCTGGATTTCTAGGAAAAAGGCAAGGCATCTCTCTTGCCACTTGTTATGTTTCCAGTCATGGGATCAGAGGGCATGGCGACTGTGATCAGAGGGCATGGAGAGCAGGAAGAACTGAAAAATCCCAGAAAAGTCTGGAGTGGAATCATTTAACCAATTCTACTCCCTCTCAAGGCCAACTCTGGCCTACGAATAAGGAGTCCTTCCTATAATTCATCTAACTTCACTCAGGACCAATCTGGGGATCTAAGACGGCAAACCCAGTGGGCAATAAAATATTTCTTGGCCTATCATTATTCTCTGTAGCATGTTAAGGACAGGTTTATGTATGTAGAGTTCTGAGTTTTTGCCTTCTGTCTCCCTAAGATATTTTTATGCTGTTTAGTAATTGATTGCCACAGTTTATCAACCACATTTCTGGCCAATGCTAATAATCCTTATTATATTAATTATTGGACCAATCTTGATTGTGTATGACATCATCTTGTAGCTACCACCTCTATGTGGGTGTTCTCCTCATTCTGCCTAAGTGCCAATGCCTGTGCTATGGGCCTATCTGTCACATGGATAATCTCTTCACTCCAGGCAGGCTCCAACATTAACACAGGGCTATCCTCTTGTCCCCTTTTGAAGACAGCTTCTTCACCCTATTCAGGCTGCAATACTCTTACTGGGTCTCCACAGTGTCCTCTCTCTCACTCTACTTAAGTTTCTTCAGTCCACTCCAGGCAACTGTCACTAAGCATCCCCCATACATACACAGACATCTACCTTGCTTGGCCAAGCCCTCTGGATTTTAGACTCCACCATTTAGAGAGGCAGACAGATAGGGGTTCACACTTAATACATAAATTAGAGATAGATTCTGTTTTTACCTAAAAAGTCTTTAGAAAATCTGATTGAATGGTCGAATGTGGTGGTAAAATTCTGCATAATATCTTACAGCACTTCTGTGAATCACAAGACAGTTTTGAATGCTAAATGTCAGCTAACAGATCTAATGGGACCAAAATCTGCCTTCCCAGTTTATGTGAAAGGAGATCCTGATCCCTCATCAGGTGAGACTCACATCAGACAACAGCATTTCTCCAAAACCCACCTCAGCCCCATGGCCACCTTCCAGGGTGGAAAGTGATCAATTTTAGAAAAATTACAGGATAATAATAAGAAAGACCTGAAGGGAAGGACCCATCTCACTCCCCTCAAATAGATTCATATAGCAAAGGCAAATATAGGAGAAGTAGGCCTATGAAGATGAAGTCTGAGATGCTTTGATGTGCCTCCAATCTCCTCTTCAGTAATACTAGCCATGCCTATCTTTAACCATTGTCTGAGGTGGCCAAGAGCACCAACCACTGTCTTTCCTCAGGAAAACTTGGGGGAAAATGTAGAATAATAATTTTTTAAAGTTCTGACCAGCTTTTTGAATCATGCAGCATGTTTCTGGCTTCAGGTAAAGAAAACCCTGACTCAACAAATTTAAACACTATATAAATTTCTTATCTCCCCACACAGGACATCAAAGGCAGAAAGGTCCCAGTGCAGGGTGATCAGAGCTCTGCCTCCACTGCCCCCAGTCTTCTTGCCTCTGCTCTCCTTCACAGCAGGTTTTACCCTTATGCTGGTCAATTTCATGTGTCCATGCAGACACGAGTTAAAGGTAGAAAGAAACAATCTGTTTCTTTCGGAGATCAAAGAATGTCTTTCCAGAAAACTGTCCCTTATGTCTCACTTGCCAAGACTTGGCGTAGTCTCAGGTGCTGCCTAAGCTAATCAGCTACAGGAGAAGGGACCACATGACTGGCGTGAATCAGTCAGAATTCGCCCCATGAAGCTAGTAATGTGGCCCACCTTTCCCAGGGGATATGGGCATGTAAAGGACAGTGGATCGTTGAACAGAACACTGACAGATTTCAGCACCAAAGTTAAGGTTAGCACTGCTACCACACCTAATCCCACGCTATCCCTTTTCCTTCTTTAATTTTTTCCACAGCACTTTTCAGTATTTGGCAAACTATATATGTTTTTACATTTTTATTGTCAATGGAGAAAATAATAAACGGAGAAAAGATAGTCTTGGCAACAAATAGTACTGGAACACCACAACGTGTTAATAAATGAACCTGGAGACATCTCTCACACCTTATATAAAAGTAACTAGAAGTAAATCAAAGGGCTAGATATAATATATCAAACTGTCAAGCTTTTAGAATAAAATATAGAAGAAAACCTAAATGACCTAATATTTGGCAATGAAGTTTTAGCTGTAATAACAAAAGTATTATTCGTGGAAGAAAACAAAAGTATTAAGGGTGGGCTAAAGTAAGGGAAAAAAATACCTTTGCAGTAGAGAAAACTGGTAAACATTACCTAAACCAGGTGATGAACGTTAGTATCAATGATGTCATGTGGATATCATGTACTCCCTAAAATAATGTGACAAGAAGGAACTTTTACTCTTGTATGATTTCAAAAAATGTATAACTCTAATTATGAAAAAAAATCAAAGGATCTTCAGGACTGTTAAGGTCATGAAAAACAATAAAAGACTGAGACATGGTCACAGACCAAAAAAGACTAGGGAGATATGACAACTACATGCAGTGGGGTATTCCAGACTGGATCCTGAAATGGAAAGAAAACATGAGTAGAAAAACTGGTGAAAGCCACATAAAGTCTACGGTTTGCTTAATGGAGTTTCATGTATCAATGTAAGTTTCTTATTTTTGACAAACGTATCATAGTAATGTAAAATTCTAACAATGGGGGAAAGGCTGGGTGAAAGAAAGGGAACTCTCCTGTACTGTCTTTGTACTATCTCTGCAACTCCCTGAAAATTAAAATTATTCTCCAACAGAAAAAGTTCATGCTATTAGAAGTCAAGATAGAGGTTACCTTGAAGGAGCTGAAGTCTAAAAGAGATGATAAAGGGTCTTATTAGCTAACACTTGAAGATCCCTTATCCAAAATGCTTGGAACTGAAAGTGTTTCAGATCTTTTCCAATTTGGAATGTTTGCATTATACTAAGTATCTCAAATCAGAAAATCCAAAATCTGAAATACTCCATGCGCATTCCTTTGAGAATCATGTCAGCATTCAAAAAGTTGCAGATTTTGGAGCATTTCAACTTTCTAATTTTTAGATTAGGAATACAGAACCTGCGTGGAGGCTACCTGCTAATTATCTGGGAGCTAATTATATGGATATGACATTTTGAGAAATCTTAGCTTGCTGATATGGATAATTTTCTGGATACAACTTATACTTGGATAAAAATTCTTCTAAATGCGATAATAGTTATTAAGTATCTTTGAAGTACTTTTAGCTCTACAATTCATAATTCTTTAGTACTGAATATTACATATTTTGAGACAAAAGTTTTGTTTGTATTTATTTATTTGTTTAACTTCTTTTTTAAGACAACGTCTCACCTCATTGCACAGGCTAGAGTGCAGTAATTATAGAGTGCAGAGAGTGATTATGGCTCACTGCAGCCTCCAACTCCTGGACTCAAGAGATCCTCCTGCCTCAGCCTCCCAAGTAGCTAGGAGTACAGGCATGCACCACCATATCTGGCTAATTTTTATTTGTTTATTTCTACAGAGACAGGGTCTTACTATGTCGTCCATGCTGATCTCAAACCCCTGGCCTCAGCCTCCCAAAGCTTGGGATTACAGGTGTAAGTCACTGCACACAGCCAAAAGTTTTATTTTAAACTTATTATTACGAGCATGTAACAGATTCACATGGTTTGAAATTCAAACCTGCAAAAGAAAATAATAAAAAGCTAACAGATAGACAAACAAAAACAGAAGCAAAACGCCATTTAGCCATGCTCTCTAGTTCCTCATTTAACACTTGGAAGAAACCAGAGTAATGCTCCCTGTGCATCCTTCCAGAGACAATTTTTTTTTTTTTTTTGAGACGGAGTCTTGCTCTGTCACCAGGCTGGAGTGCAGTGGTGCAATCTCGGCTCACTGCAATCTCTGCCTCCTGGATTCAAGTGATTTTCCTGCCTCAGCCTCCTGAGTAGCTGGGACTACAGGCACGTGCCACCACTCCCAGATAATTTTTGTATTTTTAGTAGAGACAGAGTTTCACACATTGGCCATGATGGTCTTGATCTCTTGACCTTGTCATCCGCCCACCTTGGCCTCACAAAGTGTTGGATTACAAGCATGTGCCAACATGCCTGGCCAACAATTTTTTAAAATACCTTTTTCTTTTTAACAGAAGGGATGGTAGAGTACTTCTTTTAAATTAAACGTATACTTAATATACATATACTTGTTTCTTTTTATTGCTACATAAAATAAATTTGGGGAAACAGGAAAAATTACCTAATATCATCATATTAACACACCAAAATTTTTCAATTATATGTATTTCCTGTGTCAGTTTTTACCCCCACTTGTTTTTTGATATAGTTTGAAATCATAGTACAGATAAAATTTGAGGCAGGTATTTTAGACCTGTTTTTCTTTTGGAACATGAAACTTTGGGAGCACCAGGGAATCTTGAAATATTCAGTTATTCATGATTCAGAATATTGTTATATCCACTTTGTGTCAGACTATTTGTTAAGAACTAAACTAAAAGAAAAAGATTGGTCTGGGCATGGTGGCTCACACCTGTAATCCCAGCACTTTGGGAGGCTGACGCAGGTGAATCACCTGAGGTCGGGAGTTCAAGGCCAGACTGGCCAACATGGTGAAACCCCATCTGTACTGAAAATACAAAAATTAACTGGGTATGGTGACACATGTCGGTAATCCCAGCTTCTCAGGAGGCTGAGGCAGGAGAATTGCTTGAACCCGGGAGGTGTTAGTGAGGTGGTAGTGAGCCAAGATCGCACCACTGCATGCCAACCTGAGTGACAGAGTGAGACTCCGTCTCAAAAAAGAAAAAAATGGTTGCCACCTTCTAGGAGATTATACTCAGGCAAAACAATTAGAGGTGTAGAACTTAATATGTGACAAGGACTCTATGGGGTGACTGATTTTTCCTGTGAACCTTTATAAAGGCTTCCTAGGGGAGGGCATGTTTATTTAAGAGATTGCCAGGTATGAAACTATGTACAGTGGAAAATCTATATGAAAAGACTGTGTCTGGGAATCAGGGATTATACATTGTGACTAGAGGAAGGAGTCCTACAGTTTGATGCCTACAAAGAATTAGAGTTTCTGGGTGCTTCTGGACGTGTGGATCAATGAGAGCAAGGAGGAAACAAATCCATAAAAAGGAAGAGTTAGTAGAAAACCAACAGGATGTGGGAAGGAGAGGGAAAGCTGCAACAGCCAAGAGGAAAAAGAGCAGTGCTGAAATCAAAGTATAAAGAAGGAGAGAGGATGGCGGAAGCTGTGAAATTCTTTCCGTTAGGCAATGGGGCGACGACCCTAGGATTGCTGAGTTAGCAGCAGTGATAGACTCAGTGCCAAATCAGATAGAGGTAAAGTCCAGATCCAAAGAAGAGGGTTTTTAGCGATAAAGCGACAGTAGAACCCTCTCAGCTTTCTAGGGTGCAGGGGGCCTCCCTTCCAGGCGTCATGAACAGTGGGGAACATAACTAGGCATGATGGATTCAGACACAGAACCTGTTCACTCCTAGTGTAGTCAGGCACTGCCCGATGAGATCAATCCCTTCCAAATGCTGCTTCTGTGTTTAACTAGGGTTCTTGATAATCTGACCAGCTGGTACCAGCTGGTGTCATTGATTTTAGGAGACAGATGGGGCAACCTGCAAGATGAATGGGAGTTAGTCTCGTGCTGTCTCCCATGCACACCACTCATGAACACTTGGCTATCATGGCAGTTCCATTTATGTTGTGCCCAGTTTGATTTAAAAGCCTTTAATTCATTAGTCTTATTAGCCTTCATTTGGATTTAAATGCCAAATAATAACCTTCTACCTTGTAAGCAAGGCTTAAGTTTGGATAAATTTTGTCCTATTTACTATTCGTCTACAAGCTCTCTTAAAACACGAAGTATACACCAAGAAGGCTCTCAGCACTCTGAATCGTATGTTAAATACCAGTAACTTCTCAAAGTCATTGTGTA